TATATATTCTTTATATATATATATATATATATATATATATATATATATATATAAAGAATATATAAGAAGTAGGTATGAGTAATAAACAGTTAAGACTAGTGTATCTATTTTTGCTGTAAGAGCAGCCTCATCTTTGACTCCGGAGCTTCCTGTTTCTGTTATACAGTTATAAACTGAACACCCAGTTGTGCTTTTCTTGTTTGTGGCTGTCTCTGACTCTGGTTCTTCTGGAGGCTTCGTACTATCAGAATAAAATAAAATCCAATCTCCACCCACTGACAAGTGTGTAAAAGCCAAAAGGTCATGGTAAAAGTGACGTGAGACAACTTTTTGTGTGAACTGATGCAGTTTAAATAAAACAGAACTGATAACACGTGGGCATTTCATTCATGTCACTGCAGCAATAGTTTCACGTGCAAAGCAGTTCAGAAGGTTAGCTTTAAAACAGGCACTCCTTTATCATTTCCTTTTTTACAATGACAGGATCATTTACTGAGAGCTGAGTGAATAATCTTTTCTGTATGCCTCCCTGCCTGCTTTTAATCAAGTAGCTGATCTTACTGATAATAGCCGACAGTTTTCAGCCTCACTGACCCAGTTTTAGTAAAATATATAAAATATAAATGTCAGATCCCAACACTTAGCAGACGCTTTATTATTAAAAACACACTTTTTAATATTAGCAGGACATTATAAAATAACTTGATGCATGGAAATTTCAGGTATTACCTAAACCTGTAAATTAGAATAAACTAATAATCCCTGTATTTTTTCTTGTTGATCTGCATGTTTAGATTCCATTGGATGCTTATGCATGAGTGTTTTTCATTCTTTGCATAATTTATCTTGTTTGGCATTAATATTTAAAAAAATCCTCTAAATTCTGTAAAACATTTAAACTTCTCTTGCAACGTTTTCCTCTCCCATACTCATTTATTTGCACAGTTCACTTTATTAAAACAACCAGCAGCAGCATGAGGACAGATTTCAGCCTCTGCAAGCTGATCCCGTTTTTTTATATTTTTATATAGAACAAATGGCACTGCACTTTCCTGAGAGCAATAGCGTGTGTGTGAACTCATAGTAAAAGTGTGTGTGTGTGTCCTACACACCTTGAGGGTTGCCATTCTGCAATGTGAGTAAACCTGAGAGCTCAAATATAAAACACGGCATGCCTGGAGCGTGCTGGCTTTCCGCATCCATCCCCTAATTAGATCTTTATGCTGCAGAATTGACATTATGACTGACAGCTGAAGCCACCAGATAATGGTGCACTTTTCATGGACCTATAAAATCCATTTTATTTTCAGATTTCTCAGTAACTGTACGCAGCTGTTTGCCAGTCGGTTTGCAAAATGTCAGCCATTTATGATGCCTCTACAGCTAAATGTCTAGCCTGAAAAAAACTGCTATTGCGCTCTGAACATTTCTTGTGGAATTTAAAATGCTCTGATGCTGTTTGTGTTTGCTGATAACAGAGAAAAAGACAAGCACGAAACATTTATTTGTGCATTTTATTTACATTTCATGCAAACACCGGTCTGCACACATTGAGCAGATATGCTGGTCAAGCATGACAATCAATATTTAAATAAAGCCTACATGTTGAATGTTTTGCTTTTTTTTTAGAGCTACAATAAACTGTTTAATCGTGATGGATATCTGCCCACTCTAACGACGCAGAATCAACGTCTCTGCAGCTGAATGCATCAACACAACAGTTTCTGAGCCTGACTGATTATTATTGAAATAATAAAAAAAAGTCAAGTTTACATGAAAGACGTTTCCACGCTAATGCACAAAGTGTGTGATCTGCGCAACTCCTGGGCGCTCAGTTTAAGCTCCTTGGAGCTGCTTTGCAGTGGAAGCTGTCAGGATTAACACCTGTGCAACACATCCTGAGCTGTGTGACGTGCTGTCACACAAACACTAGCACATGCCAGATTTGTCTTTCTGGCTAACTGCAGTTTGTTTTATGGAAGCTCATTGATCAAAGTCAGGAGCAGACAGACTTCTGTGTCAAAGATCAGCTTTGTGCTCGTTTTACCGACCTTGACATGAAACAACAAGAAGAGCAAAGCGTGCAGAGATGACATGCATCAGACAACAGCTGCAGAGGCATTAGATGGGACAGAAGAAGAACTGCTGAAACCTACTGCTTATTTTATTTTTTTAATTTTCTTCCAAGGCGCTCTGATACAGCTCGCAAAATGTAATAAAAATGGGAAATAGTCTTCAGGGATTAAAAAAAATGGGACTTGCTGCAGTTAATCAGATATACTGTTAGTAAGGGATTATCCCTTAGATTATTTCAAAGCATCCGAGTCACTACAAAGCCAGATTAGTCCACAATGGAATTCAAACCATTGCAACACCAAGACAAAATGCAGCACAAGTTTTTTTTTTTTCCTGAGGATAAATAGGGCCTGTTCTCTAAATTAAGGTTATAAATATTTGATCCGACTTCAGATCTTTGCATGTGGACAACAATCTATGTCCAATAACACTTACTCCTTCAAAAACACAAATCTGGGAAAATAAAAAAAGTTTGGTCATCAAGAAAACCAGTGGATTCAGATGATTACCTGGGTGCTGATTAAACAAACACAAAAATGAAAACCAAATGTTGAGTTTTGTGCATTATATTTGTTTTATAAAAATGTTCATGGAAAATTAAGGCACATGATGATTTTTACTAAAATCTTTGTTCACTTCAAACTTCTTTTCAGGCTAATTTAAATAAATTTAAAACGTGCTCAAAAAGTAACTGAAATAAAAAAAAAATAGGCACTGGTCACACTGGGTTACCAATCACGCGCGTTTATGTGAGATCGAACTGGAGTTGCATAGATTTAACTATGTTGATTATCCAGAGGTGATGGAGGTCACATACGGCCACATTCTTATAGCAGCGGCGATCTTTATTTGTTCTCTGCCACCCTTTACACCGATGTACCTCCTGCCAGTAAGAAACTACAACACTGCAGAGCGTTAAGAAGGGTTGCAGAGATTTTTTACATATTAGGTGCACAGAGCCATCATTAGTCATTTAATATGATTAGATTGCCAAATTTTTCAGGACAAGACATGTCAGGTCAGGATGTCATTTGAAGATAATGGGTTAAATGACATTTTTGAGCAATGATGGTTTAGACAGAAGTTTCTTTGCAAACATACACCCATAAATTTGTCTTTTTCTTCATGAGGGGTTCATTAATTAAGATCATAATAAGGGGTGTAACAATACGTCGATTTAAATCAATATATCGATTAAATGATTAATGATTTGATTATATCGTGGCAAAACTAAAACATCGATTTATATCGTCATCTTTAAAATACGCTTTTATTTTGAAATTCCCAAGGCACATCTGTGTCACCATTTCCGTGCGCGGCTGCGCTCTGCGGCCGCCTCAGCAACTTGGCAGACGAGGCAGAAAACACAGATAATGAAATTCACTCTCCTGCTGGATTTAAATCAACACTGTGGAAATATTTTTGATTCTGACAGGACGGCTCAATAGACAAAACTCATGTCGTATGCAACAGGTGTGAGTTAAACTACTCAGGAAACAACAAATTTGGCCGTTCACCTGAAGAAGAAACACGACATTGATAGACACGTTATGTAAGCTCAATATCTATTTTTGTTTCTTTATAACTGAAAGGTAATCAGAGCACTTTTAAGTTAACTGGTTTAAAAAATGCACTTAAACATGAGAAATGTGACACTATACTGAACAGGTCATTTATTTTTACTTTTTCATTAAGAAAAAAATATTTTTTATTTAAATGACTGGTACCTGTAATAACAGAAATAAAATGGTTAAATCCTATTTTAATTGTTTCTGTAAATTTATTTTTATGTAAATGAGATGGGCATTTGATATCGCAATATATCGACCGCAGACTTGTGAATCGAATAGAATCGAAATTGTATCGTGACAGACTTTGTGATATCGGGGAAAAATCGTATCGTCATACAAACAAATCAATACAATATTGTATTGTGGTAAAGTTGGTGATTTACACCCCTAATAATAATAGAAGAAATAGTAGTTCACTGAAAAGGCACATGGAAATGCATTTTAGGTGCAAACTGTAAGCTGTTGGTCTTTAACTGGAACAGATGAGCTGCGAGTTTACGACAGGTTTTAATTGAGAGCTGAGAAATAATACAGCGGCACAAAGGTAAAATATTCTCACATCAACAATAAAGAAGTTTTTAATGCTTACGAACATTTACCCATAAGTAAAGTATGTAAATATACCAAGATACTGTGTTGGAATGAACGATGGTCTTAGCACGAGTATACAAACATATCAATTTTCTAAATGTCAGAACGAGGGGACCACAGACCATTTTTAGATCAAACTCACATCTGATAGTGACACTCAGCTGGTATATAACCTTTCCCAGTTAAATTCATAATCTATCAGCTTCGAGCAGCTGGGTAATGATTGCCGTTACCGTTCACTGAAAGTTCACTGTGACAGGATGTACTCACTTCCCAGCAGCATAGACCTCCGCTGTGTCAAACAGATTGATGCCGTTTTCATAGGCCAGAGTCATCAGCTGCTCTGCCATCTGTTGAGAAAACAAGGGGTAAGGAACAGGGGTGGGCGGGGGGTGGATGTGAGTACTTTCCAGTTATTTATTTGGCTTAAATTAAAAATGCTAAACTGGCATCATAAACAGCAAGTTATTTTCTTTAAATGTTGGCTCTTTTTGAGACGAAGTTCAGCTTCCTAAGCAAACTGCCTTTCACCCCAAAGCTTTGACTGATGGAGGATGACAAAACCCATCTGTTCTCACCTCATCTGTTATCTGTCCACCGAACGTCACCCATGTTCCTACAGAGGGAGACAGGGAGGAAGGGTTAGAGTCCAAGAACCCCAAAACACACAAAGATAAGAAAGTGAGCAGAGATGACATATGCTCAGCATGCATATAATACAACTGATCTAAAAAAGCAAAATCAGGCCAATAAAAATAGAAATCCAAGACGTTTTCCAGTCTTTTTAGGCCACTGATGAACTTCTTCACTCAATGCAACATCATTTCTATATATTTTAGGAGAATGGCTGATAGGGTTCAGTGTTTTGACCACTCATCCATCAGACAGACTTCTTGTTGCAGCAAACTCCTCAGTTTGGGCTCAGGAGCTTACCTAATCCAAGGCAGGATACCCGCAGGCCAGACTTCCCAAGGTTTCTGTCAAACAAAGAAATAAATTTACATGAATATAGGAGGGATGTGGCAGTCATTTTTATGTTTTTTTGCACTCCAAATGTAGCGTTCTGTCATTACTGTGAATAAATAAATAAACAAACCTGTCTCCTGCAGTATTATATGATCTACAGACATGTGAGCTGAGAGGAACAGGGCTTCATATGGATTTAGAATTACCGTAGCTTGAATCTACTCCTGCACTGACACACGAGGCGATGGGTATGAGGAAAAGACAGTAACACGTGGCAATGAGAATATGTGTGTGTGTCGTTGTTTGTGTGTGCAGGAAAATGTCAGGGAAAATCAGAGATAGGAAGTGGGGTCTTAAGCAGGCACACTATGACATCCAGAGAAAATTTCTTCCTGCACTCCAGGGTCCCTCCGCCTCCATGTGACTAAAATCCCCTGCAGCGATGTGGAAAGCTTGACTCCTCACAACAAACTTGCTACTAAAGCTGGCGTCATTGAGCCAGTCAGAGTCCAGAACAAACCCTTCTGCTGACAATCACAATTTAAGTAAGGTTTTGATTTGTGTTAGTCTTTAAATATTTCTCAGACCCAGCATGGTAGCAGAGTTACTGAGGCCTAATTCCCTAAAGAGAAATCATTACTACAGTCACGTAAAACAGCTTCAAAAATATATGTGAAACGACAAAAAGGCACAAAATGGAATGAACTACTTCTCGACAACCCTCCTCACGGAATAATCTGGCAGAGCAAAAATAAATTAATATACAGTATAAAGTGCCATCATCAGAGATGATGATGTGCTGAAGTCAAAGTGAGAATGTGGGAAGATTACTAAAATATTTTTATAAGATTGGTTTTATAGAACGGCTGACATGAAAAGGAGTAAAAAGGGAGGCAGGAGTGTGAGCATGTGCAGATGTTAGGGCTGTGTGTGTACGGTATAAGTGTGGGTGGGACATAAAGCAACAAATGGATTGCACTAGGGCTACTTTTTATTTTGTCTTCTTTGGGCTCGCCACAGTGAACTAACTCCCATTTTAAACCCCCATCTTCCTCACTCTTCACTTTCTTTTCTGTCATCACTTTTCTAAACCATGTGTGGGCATCAAGGCTAATGTGAATCTGTTGGATTATCTTAATATAATATACTCATGCCGAAGATTAATGTAAAATTATATGTGAAATTATTATATGTGAAATACGATGGTCTATGTTTTATTGCAGCCCATGCTGTCCTTTGTGATACTTGTACTGTGATGAGAATACATTTTCCATTTATTGCTCAGCCCTTATTGCTACTTTGTCTATTTTCATGTTGGTCTTCAGTTCAAAAACAAAATTTATCCTTAAACATTAAAACCTACTACATTTAAGTGGGCCACATTTACAACACAAGAAAACTTTAACATAAACATAAAAAACATCAAGGATAAAGTAAATTTAAGCCCCTATAGTTACTTTTAAAACTGTTGTCTGTTGTATTGTCAAACCTTTTTAGTTCAGCTTTTATTAAACCATAAACTTTTTCCATTCTTCTACCTGTAACAATGATGTAATAGGAAGCTACAACTTTCTGAAAGTTGCAGCAGTTTCACACAAAGCTTCAGTGGATGTTTTTGTCTCAGTAAGACAGATAACCTAGCTCAAAAATGGCCACAACAATCAGCAGCTTTTAAAAATCTTTGATAGTCAAAATAAATAGTTTCAGTAGTTACAGGTTTTGATAAAAACTTGCCAAGTTTGTCCACTGGTTAAACAAAATGTGTTTAATGCTATTTGCTTGCAAACTGTAAATGTTGATTTTGTTACTACGCTCTGTGGTGGAGAAAAAAAAAATGCTATCAGTGTTGGATTGCTCCACAAATTATCATCGTAATCAAATTTCTGTTAATAAACCTGCTACTGGTTCACAAACAAGTCGAGAAGATGTGCAATGAAAATAGTTGCAGCTAAAATGACAAGTCTTTTGTTAATTGTGTTACTACCAATTACAAAATAAAACTTAAAAGCTACAAAAGTGTGGTTTATTTGTAAAAACGGTACATATAATAATTATTTTTTTTTGTCTTTTTGTAGAACAAAAAAAAAAATACTAGAATACACAGCCCATTCCATGCCATTGATCCCATAATCAAATATGTCCTAACATCATCAATACATTGTTTTCCTGAATATTTGACGAGAGAGGCCTTGAATATTGCTTTGTCCATTGCTTCAACGACTCTACCTGTAAGCAGGTGGGTTCTTGTTCAAGCTGAACCTCTGCAGACAGAATGCCTGACTATAACCTCAACTATCCCATTAATGAAGGAGAGGGACACAGTCAGGGCACCGCTACAGCTACAAGGACAAAACATGGAGGGGGGGTCCATTTTAAAAAGCCCATAGTGACAGCAGTACTGTCAGGTCTGATGAGCCTGTTTCAAAGATGAACTTTGAGAGGATTTTTAAATTTGACTTCTCCAAACCAAACAACACAAAACCCAAGAGAAAAGCAAGAGGTATCACTATGGCTAATTTATTATTAATATGACAAGCAATTCTTCAGAATTACGTTTGCTTTTTATTGACAATAACATTAAGACAAGTCTCTTCCAGTAATCAGTTATTGATTATTGGGTTAGACACATTCATTTGGCATCATGAAAACAACCCCAAAGAACTGCTCTTGAATAGAAATGTAATCTGATCTCATTGCTTTGTTTATCCATCTATTAGGTCTTATTAAATGCATAATTCCCCATGAATCACAAACACTGTTTTGGGAGCAATTTATTACTTTAAAACATGCAATATAATGACCCTTTCAGATCAAAAATTAGGGTTGCACACATATATTTACCAGCTCAAGGATTAGGCTGATTTCTGCCATTTTTAACATCAGTCACACCTGAGCAAACTAAGCCAATTAAAGTCAGGCATGTGATTGGGCAGCACAGTCTGATGTTGTACTCATTTTTTGTGAAAATTTGTCCACAAGAGACATTTCACGACAGTGGTGCTTTTATCAGTACAACACCGACTCCCATAACGCTTTAAAGGAACAACATTGTATTAACTAGGTAACAAGATTTTTTTTCCCCGAGCCTTATATATTTAACGCCGTTAGTTAGAAAATATATAAACTATGGATAACTTTATGCTTGCCACTGAAATTATAAAGATATTTCAGAAAACTGCTGTTTAGGTAAAAATGTGTCCTGATTCACAGTGAATCCTATAGAGCCAAATCAATACGTCACAGCTATTCACAGATTTTATTTTTCCTGTTAAAAATCCAACAGAATTTAGTCAGTATGAACATTAAACTAATACATTTATGAGCCAAAACCCAACAAACTATGTGCATTCACACAGTTCTTAGCTGTTCTGTTACTAGAGACTGGCATCTACCTCTACCACTGAAAAAGTCTAATGGGTCAAGCTCTAACTCACACTGTCCATAGACTTTTCAGTGTTTTACGGACATTTTTGTCTATTTATCGTAAGTAAATCTTCAGTTGTGAGTTGGCGCTAGAGCTGTCATTTCTAACCTGAACCCGGCCTGAACTGACCCGGATTAGGGCCGGTCTAGTCTTGGGCTTTGATGCGGTTTTATGAATTATACAGCACAAATAAAATGAGAGGATAAAGAAAGAAAGAAAAGTGCAGCAGTTAATCAGACTGTGGAAGAGATCGCTGGCACATTGCACAATAATTGCGCACGTGGGCTCAGGCTTCTGTGGTTTTGCGAATCATACAGCACAAAGGAAACTAAATAATGCACAATATAAAATTGTGTTAATCTACTTGTTAAGGAGGATACAGGTCTGACCAGCCGGTTTAAAGAGGTTCAAAAAAAGTTGCGTTAAGCTCAGATGGACAACCTGCCACCGCTGACTCGCCGGTTGAAATGGACTTGTGACCTGTCCAGGGTGTACCCCACCTTTCACACAGTGACTGCTGGACATGGGTACCAGCGACCCCCGCTACCCGAAAAAGAAGAAGCAGGTAAAGATAATGGATGGATGGGTCAATCAGCTGATCACCGGCCACGCGCATCTCCACACCTGCTGTCATCTGCGGTGAAGGAAGTAGCAGTATCTACAAAAACCGAAGCGAGCAGCACCTTCAATTAAAATAGCCTTGTTCTAGATTTTTCCAAATAATTTTGCTCTAAAAATATTTTTGTTCATCTGTATAATAGCTTATCTTTACAGTTGATTTTTTTTAGGCTATTTGTTTTGTATGTTAATATCCATTTGGTGACTTGTTAATAAACATAAAACTTATAGCTTCCTTTCATTACATTTTTTAAACTATCATGTCAAACTGATTTGCTTATAAAATCAGTAAAACTTAATAAATACAAAAAGTTTTTTTTTTTTAGGTTCGGCCCTCTAACTACCGGTAATCCATTGGGTCCGGGTAGGGCTCGGGAAAAAAAACAAAAAACTACGGGCTCGGTCCAGTCCGGGCTGGATTTATTAGACCCGGATGCAACTCTTGTTGGCGTCACCACTGATGTAAACCATCAACCATGCAGTGACACGAAACTGGTTTGTGGCTTGTTCTTAGCCTCTAAGAGAAGAAGAAACTCAGTACTGGAAGCTGGAAGCAAAAGCTTTACTTTTTGAAGACACTTCAGCTCAGCTGTTATCGATTTGGATGAGTTCTGAATTGATAAACCAATTCGTTCTTCATTCTACAATACACTAAATATGCAGCGCTACAGATTATACAACACTGCTGCAGTACATTGATAGCTCAACTCTGCACACATGAGATGTGTGCAGTGCTGCATGCGCCGCAGGCAGCCTTGATAACACTAATAATGGAGTCTAAGCAGTTCCACTAGACAAACCATGAGACAATATTGTTTCAGAATCACTTCTTGCGTATTACATCAATATCACAGACCATGACAAATGCAATTATAAGGAAGTAATTATCATTATAAATTCTACTGAGGATGGTTTGGCTCATCAGGGCATTTTATAATTAGGAAACGGTTCAATTGGTTCTTGATATGT